CTCCAAGGATATGATGAATTATTTTCAGATTTAATAAGCTTTGATTTCTAGGAAAAACCTTAATTGGTAGTAATATATTATTCTTCCAACTAGCATAATATTAATATAAGCCAATATTAACTCCAATAGCCTTATTAGGAGATGGTATAACATTTCATTGGCTTGAGAAGGTCAGTGTATCAAGGAAGACAACATAATGCATAGGATATGTCCTAAAAATCACAGCTTTAATGCAGAAAGGAGAGAGGGACAAATGCACCACTCTTCCTAGCATTGCTTTTAAAAGCAAACAATAAAAGGGAATTTCAGCACCTGTGTTGTGGGTCCAAGAACAATTCCTAAGGTTGGTCCCACTGATTTGTTTGGTGCATTGCACTCGACAGTGGTGCAGCTCTTAACAATGACACAGCTCACCAACAGTGGCAGTTTCCATAATGCCCAAGTCTTCTGGAACATTGCCAAAATTAAGCATATGTTGGACCATCAAGTAAGTCATCATAAAATTAAATTGACAGAAATTCTATCTGTGAAAAATTGCAAAGAAAACAATGATACAAGAAATTTTCAATTGCTTGAAAATGAAGCGCCATGGATTTAAATAATCTGTGGCCCAGCGTAGAAGTCCCAAGAGACATCAGAAAAGCAAAAAAGAACAAAATGATGTCGTTTTTAAACATGGGAGTATTTACATAAGAAACAAATTACCAGGAGATCCAGAGATTGTGAACTAGAAAATAAGAGGAAACGGGCAAGTCGGTTCTGGGAAGAGCTGCAGAGCTGACCGACTGTTTCCCAGTACAGACAGCCAAGCAGGTTGCACTGTAAGGAGTTAGTCACGGGCGAAGAGAAGGGAATGAAGTACTGAAAAGCGCCTCGTGGGGTCAGAACTGGTGACAGCATGCTGTCAAAGGACAGAGGAAGCGATGCAGACAAGGCCTGAATCTGCCTGCTTAAATGTGTTTGAAGTTCACGAGCACTTGGGTACCAATTCTGTCAACCCCAGCTTCAGCGTGAGAAGATGCTACCAAGAAACATACCATTTCCTTCCCTTTTCTTGTTTGTTCAAAGATGAACTCTCAGAGATCTGCATAGGATGCAAGCATCTTTCTTTTTTTCTTCCAGCAAGGCTTTCCGCTTGGGTATACCTGTCCCTCAGCAGGACATGTTTTTTGGATCCTCCTCTGATGGTGGTTCATGGGTATCAGTGTGTTTCCTCCACGTTCCCATCCTTTCCTGCTGTCTCAGGAGAGGTTCCCACACAAGGTTTGCTACCTCAACTGCTTGGCCTACAGATGCTATGGTTAGCATTTCACAGTGCCTTCCACGCTCCTAAAGTTTTGCTATAGAATTATTTGTGGATGTCTCCCAGCCCCTGCCACCAGGTCCAGTCTCCTTGTCCTTTGTATGGCTTCCAGGAAGATATTTAGCATTTGGCATTAACCAGTGCCACCTTCTTTGTGGAACCAGAACAGTTTGTGCGATGGTGAAGTGGTGACATTAGGAAGATGCACAGATAATGATGGAAGCCAATTTTCACATATTTTTTGGACTATTTAGTGAGCACCTGTAATATATTCAGACATCTGTGCCGGCTAATTTGGTTGTCAGCTTGGCTGAATTGAGAAGATGCCTAGAAAAGTGGTAATTTTCACTTCTAGGAGTATCTGTGAAGGGGATTTTTGAGAAGACTGTTTCCCGTGTGAAGGAGCTGGGCAGATAGGAATCCCCACGGATGGGAAAGACCATGGGAAACATGGAACATGAAAGCAGAAGTAGCCTTTGCTCATGCTCCCGTTTCTGGGCAAGCACCCTTGTTCATTGCTGTTGTCTAAGGACATGAGACTCCAGGTTCTTTAATTATTGATCACAGACTTGCACAAGTGGACCCATCTCTAGGGACAGCCAAGCCTCTGGTCCTACTTAGACTGGGGCTGCCCTTGGCCCTTCTGCCATTCTGAGGCTTCCACCTTATTCAGTCTGGGAAGAGTTGCTCTCCATCCTGCAAGCATTCACTGTGGGACTTTTCAGCTTCTGTGATCCTCTGAGTTAGGCAATAAGTTATCTTCTGTAATAAGATATTCCTTTGGTTCTGCTTCTCTGGAGAAGGCTGAGTAATACAGCCAACCCCCAAGGAAGTATTTCTAATAAATGTTAAAAGTCTACACAGAGTCACACACAAAAGAAATGCGCTCATTGAGTATTTTCAATATCTACCCAAATTAAGGAAGTTAACTATGGATTTTAATACATTTTAAATTGTGTTACTATGTGCATTAAGGTAATATTTACTTCTATAGTATCACAAGGAACTGCCGTAATTTTCTGGTAAGCACACAAAGCCACAAAACAAATGGCTTTCTTACATAGACCGTGTAGAACTAACTCTAGAATGAATCTTGTAATAAATTATCTCTTAGCCATTGCATAACTGGCTATAAGACTTCTACTTCACACTTATCTGTAGGTATCACTTTGACGATAGTGAACACACAGTGTTTTGAAAAATAAGAAATAGAATGAAAAGCTTTCACCAAACAGGGTTTAACACAGGTTTTAGGGCCACCAGAGCCTGTAGACTGTGGTCCTCACTGAAACACAAGGAGAAGGCTTGGAGTGAATGCGCACCCAGGATAGACGGGATCAACACACCACAGACAGAAATTCTCCTTCATACAAACACTCGTTTTCAGAGTGTAACAAGTTAAACAGTGTGAAAAGCACTACAGGCGAGGCTGGGCTGTTACTGCAGCCCAGGATTCTTTACTGTTGGGCCTGAAGTGTCCAAGAATAAGAATATAAAAATGTAGATTGCAGAAATAAGAAAGTAGAAATAAAGAAATATAAAGTTGTAAGCCTAGGAGAATGAGGACAGACTGTCAGCCGCTTTCTCAGCAGCTTGAGGATTGACCATTAACAGTGGGTTACTCTGCTTAAAACCCATAGCTCTATTAACAAGGCCAAAGCATCTCTCTGCAAACTGAGAGCCTACACTCCGGGCCATCCTTGATTAACAACAGATATGAGCTGAGCTAACTTTTAGGAGATAGATCTATGACCTCTGGGTTCACATTATCCCTGCTATGTGAAACTGGCAGCATCAAAGGGGAGAGCACAGGGCTTCAGTAGACACTACCTGAAAGTACCAAGAAAGGCAACTGATTAAGTACAAACACTAGTTTAACTGAAAAACTCTGATTGTAAAGTAAGGCAATCTGTGTCTGAGTTTTTCCTCGAGATTGTAAAAATTCCAAAGGCCCGTTCACAAGCGTTCACACAAAGGAAACCAGAACGAAGTTATTCAGGGAACCCAGAGGGATTGGGAAAAAAAAATTTGGGAAGCAGGTGACACTTTTCTTATGTTTTCAGAAGACTTGCTTGTCATTTTGTTCATTACTATGGGGCAGGGCATGTCCTCTTTAATTTGTTTGCCTCTTTCAGGTGCAGTTTGGTTCAAAGAAAACCCATCCATCATAGTTTATCACAATGGATTTAAAAAACCCTATGATGATTACTTATTTTTATTGATATCTCACAGTGACAAAGCAATTCAGAGCTACGGTGTTTTTGATAAAAAGGCAACAAGTTCTACAGCTTCAATATCCAGGATGCCAACCTCCCTCTTCCTCGAGCCCCTACTACAGCAGTCCCTGAAATTGTGTGTCTAAAACACTAAGCATAAATTGATTTTTGGGCTCAGGGAATTTGTAACAAGATTGCTAAGTAAGAGAGCCTTTCAAGGAAGCCTGGGAAGGTACTGGGTTGATTTGTTTACAGTTAATTATTATTATTATTATTATTAATTATTATTATTTGTTTACAGTTAATTATTGCCTAGGGCAGGTTCTTCACACATTTTCTTTCAAATTTTATTACCTTTATAATTTTTCAGTAGCAAAAATGAGCAAGCAAGACAAGAATTCCCTTTCCTTTCTACCGATTCTTACAAAGACCTCCACTTCTATAACCCGTGATGGGGACTCTTTGACAACCAATTATTTTAAGAGGAGGGACCAAGTTTGGGTGTGGCTTTCTGGGACCCTGAGAAAAATGGGGTGGCCCAGGTGCCCTCTCTCTGTGTGGTTCCCTGGCAGCACAGCTGAGCTTCGGCATCTTGTTCCTGTTTTGTGAGTTTTCCCCTTATAATATATTATAAAAATATAATTGTTTTGTCTTTTAGCTAGCCTGATTATTTTTCAAATCAAGCTAACTTCAACAAACCTGCCCCCTTGCCTCCTGTATTGTCAATCTTGATCTGACCACACATTATAGACTCCTGTGTGAAGGTGACACAGAAATTACAACTGAGAATAAAAATGAAATTATACATTTGTCAAGTAGAATGCAGAGCTTATATTTATACTATTTTACTTTTAATGTTTTTATTTAGCTCTACGCGTGAACTTGGCCAGGCTTTGTTCTCAAATAGTTTCCAAAAAATTGCAATTACTCATCAAACAATTAGACAAGCCAATGTCTAATCTGCCTGCATTAGGCGCTCCATGGAGCGATGGCTAGCAGAACTACTTTCATGCATAAGCTGAAGCATGCCATTCCTTCAGAATTACCTAATAACAGAGCAGAAAGTGAGGTGAAGAATTCACTCAACACGGGTGCCGGAATTGGGACAGCCCTCTTCACAGGCCAAATCTCACTGGTCACCCGTTTTTGGAAGTGAAGATCTGCTGGGGCCGGTCATGTCCATCACATCCCAAGGCTTCTACCCACCCACAAAACGGGGCTGACTGGTCTCTCCAGAAATATTTTAAATTAAATAGCCTAAAAGATTTCCAATCTGACACCAGGTAAAAGAAAGCAGCCACTCTATCATGTGGTCGATTCCCTGTCGTCGCCCACATTTCCAAACTCTGGCATCTCTTTTTACACCAACAGCCTCCTTTTCTTAAACCTCAAGTGTAAACAACTGTATCTCATAGCCATGGCCTGTTTATTGTTTGGTACAGTGTTATGTCACATGATACAATTCTTAAATTTTTGCTTACTTGACCTCCTGTAGGCTGGTTATCTGCTGACAGGGGCCGTGTGCTCTAAAGGACCTCACCAGCGAGGACCACGAAGAGACACTGCTTCAGAGAGCCAGAGGGCCATGTGTCGGCATGGACTCTGCAGGAGCAAAAGGCAGGGCTTAAAGACGTAGAATCACACACTGACTGACCCCCTATTCCTCAAAATTATGGCTAGCTGTGGAGCCAATCATTTTGTTAAAGACAAGACTTGTGTGGAGAAAATGTCAAAAATCAGTCTGAATTGTTTTGTTTTATAAATCTTCCCTAAAGTCTTCAAAATGTCCCAGACTATAACTGATGCCCATGTTGACTGTAACTCTGATAATAACTCAAAGCAAACAAGATGTCAAAAATGCTTGTGGGCTTTGTATTCAATTACTAAATCCAAGCAAGATGATGATCGTGGTATGCACCTGTTCTAGGATTCTCCACTCAGTCAATTAGAAATATAGTATATATAATGTCATTTATAAAGTATATCTGCTTTGGGGGCTCGGTTACACTGTTAGAGAAGTTTAAAATGGGCTACCCCAATTTTGCTGTAGCATTTCATGCTTTTCAAAAGAGTAAAATAATAATTTCTGTCTTTTAAAATAATTATACAACACCTTGGGCATATTCCTGAAGGACTATATTGATAGGAGGGACATCGTGTTTATAGCATGACTATTACCTTAGATAAACTCTGATCATCACTGAGGTAGTAAAAATTACAAATTAAAAGAAGAAACACTGTGTTGCCCAAAACCTTCAGGCAAGTTTGTAAGAGGGTTTGGATATTGGCTCTGTGACTGACTCACAGATGGGAAAACTCTCCTATTTAGCCTGTAACACCAGCAGCCCACTCCAAGACCTCATCTCTGGTCCGGAAGACTAAACACCAGGGAGGTGAGGGCACGGCAGTGTAACATCTCCGCTCAAGGACATCCCTGTTAGAGCGTCAACCTCTCACAGGTGCTAGTCACCCCCTTTCCTTCTCTTATGCCCCTCTCCTGTCCCTTTCGCTCTCCTTCCACCCCCTACCATGTAAGGACAGGGTAAGACGATAGCCAGAGGCACGAAAAGACATCTTTCACTAGAAAACAAACCAGCCGGCTTCTTGTTCCTAAAATTCCCAGGCTCCAGAATGGGAAGAAACAAATTCCTACTGTTTACACCTCTTATTCTCTAGACTACTCTTACAATGCCCACAGCTGTCTAATACAAATTATCCCGCTTCCTCATCAGTCAGGATAGCAGTTTTGCCTCCAGTGCTTCTCGGCAAAATCTCCCGTATTTCCCCGGGCTTCCTACTGTGGTTCCTACTGCTGTGACAAAGATCATGACCAAAAAGGCAACTTAGATTGGCGAGGGTTTATTTCAGCTCTCAGATTATAGTACAACATGAAGTGAAGTCAGGGCAGGAAACTTAATGCAGGAACTGAACAGAGGCCATGGAGAAAAGATACTGACGGGACTCGTCTCTGTGGCTTGGTCAGCTGGCTTTTTTACACCGCCTCCTGGTCAGGGGTAGGGCCACCCACAGTGGACTGAGCTCTTCCCCACCAATCATGAAGATGCCCTTATGGGGAGACCAGTGGGGCGTTTTTCTCAACAGAGGTTCCGTCTTTCCAGATGATCCGGCTTTTGCTGAGGTGACAAAAACTAACCATCGCCCCAAGAAACCAAAGTAATTCGATCCGATGAACCAATTGCAGGACTAAAAAAAAGGAACTGAGAGCTGAGAGGCTACCGGTTATTCACTGTAACGCTGAGCTATGGCTATTACGGAGAGCCCACCCCTAACAAAGGATCCACACCCACCCAGGAGAAATTCAGCAAATCTCTAGCTGGAGTCAATCAGAGCCAGAAGAAGGTTAGAAAGCATGCTACACGGACTGCACTCTTTCCCCTTCTCATCTACAGGTCGGGCTTGGATTGGGGCGACATGGGCATAAGATGGCAGGATAGGACTAGATAATTAAATTTGTGAAAAATAGGAGAAAATATATAGAAAACAAAGCCCTGCTTCTATTCGCAGAAAGGAACTGGAGAACACTGTGTAACCTTTTGAGGTCTAAAATCTCAGTTTGCATGCATTTACACACTCAAGCATTACGTGTGAGAAAGTAATAAATAGCATTTATTTACTGCTCCTCTATTTATAGCATTTATTTATAAATTATTTATTTAAATAGATATTTAAAAGTGTTTAGAGGAGGTTTGGATATTCTGATTTATCATTCATCAGGCAACTATGAAATATATTTTCATTTTTTTCTATAAAGGTACTTAGTCTGGCTATGCCTGGCAGGGGAAGCCATGTCCCTGTCACATAGCACTCTGGAAACCCAACACTGTCTTAATCAAGGGGACAAGAAATGAATTTAACTGAACACCATCTCTCCTAAGAGAGTAACCAGTTAAGATGCTTTGGTTTTCCTTTTGGAAAAACTCTAGAAATAGTGAACAATGCTTACTTCCTCTTAATACCTTTCCTGTGTCTGGTTTTCCAGTTTCTAGTGAGCCCTATCTTAAAAGTATACAGAGCTGTGCTGTCGAACCTGATAGCTACAAACCCCATGTGATCTTCTGAGAATAAATGAAGTCAAATAGAAGGAAACCAGAAAACCACTTCCTCCTCCTGGAGCCAACTGCATCTCAAGTGTGGAAACGCTGGCGTGCTATGTCAGACACTGTGGGGTCAGTGGCTGTCATCACAGCGGACGGACTAGGAAACACTGGTGGAGGCTCAGTACAGGACTCGCCTGCAGACAGACGTGGGTTTGAAACCTGACTTAGCCACTATCTAGCAATACCACCGGGTGAGTTCATTCAAACTGTTTTTATCGGCGGAATTGGGAAGGCCCTAATACCTACCTCACACGAGGGCTGTGCAATTCAGGTCATGCGTGTAAGCTCCATACAACAAGCCTAGGCACACAGAGAGCACGCGAAACCATTATTGTGTTTGCGCTGTGGTTTTATTTCTGTATTTGTTTCTTTAAATGTGAAGGGTGATGGGTTGACTCTGATGAGAACTCGGTATCAGATCTAATAGGACAAGCAGGTTTATACCTAAGATGACAATGGTCTCCTGAGATGACACACCTCTAGATAGGATTTCAAAACTCTTAAAAAGGCTCTCAAATGCCATCAGGAGGTGGGCAAAGCCTCACAGCCGAAGAGGAGGGGCAGCAATGGGGAAGTTCCCAAAGATGGAGAGTTGAAGGTAAGTTTCAGACAACATAAGGACCACAGCGGTAGAAGAACAAGACTAGAAAATGAGAGGAATCCCGCCATGCTGGTGGAAAGAGATAGCAGAAGGAAGCCCTGTGCTCTTAACTCCTAGAGAATATGAGTTTTTTCCACCCCACAGGCTAAGCCATGTCTTGTTAAAATGATCTATTTAGGCTTGACTCTAACAGTGGTCGCTTCTGACCTCCTTCCTTCCTTTGCATATTATCTTTATATAACTATTATACATGCATGCCTCTTTGAGCTGTAGAAATAGCTATAGAAAGCTGTTTCCTGAATTTTGGGGATTTGCTGTTAAACTACCTCCCTCCAGTTCACAGAAATGTATTAAACACAAGAGGTTCCCAGGTATGCATTTAAAAATGCGGGCCCCCGCTTTTGATTCCTTCTGGAATTTATATAAAAAGATCCATATAAAATTTATTCTTCATTATAAAACTCGGCAAATCATCACTAAGCAATTTTCCAGTCCTGCCACTAGAGATGATTGTTTAAGTGTGCTGTATTTATAGCAGCCCAGCAATAGCAATCTCAGCGTGATCCCTCTTGGCTGCCCCAGAAGACACACCTCACTGTTTGTCCCGGGAAGTATCGCATATGAGCTGCAATGACGCGGCACTCGCTGTTACCTGCTGATAATGTCCCGTCAAAAGGCACGACAGCTTAATGACACAGCACAGCGCCTTCTAGCAAATACCCGGATACAAATATTTCTATTGCCTCCCGCAGCAGCACAGCAGCAGGGTTACCGCAGTCCTCAGAAATCACACGATCAAATAAAGCCATCTAGGACAAAGCGGTTCTTTTATTAAACGCTGATGTACTTTTGACCACAAAATCCTTTGGTGCTTGTTCGGTCTACAAACAGTCTCACCAAGACTGACTGACGTTCTTCTATGCTTTAATTATTCTTGTTGATGAGACCTCAGGCACCACTCATTCTGAATACTTGACTTTTGTGCAACGTACAGAGTGGTTTACATTGTACGTCTGAATCAACAGAGTAGCCTCAGATTCCTGGAGCAGTCCCAGGCATCTTATGTCTAAGGCTCTGCTTGCTGGGCCCCTCCCCGACAAAGGAACCAAGCATCTAATAATGGCAAGACACAGCTTGCTGGACTGCGAGGAGCCAGGCTGTTGCTATTAACAGGGTTTATTTGCCAGTTGGCATAGTAGACTGCTGAGCTCCTGTGCGGTGAATGTGGCTGCCGGTTTTCCTCTCCCTGACCTGGACAGCAGACAGTGTCCATACAGTCAATTGTCATTGCTTTGTCCTTTATAGGGTTGTGTGTGGTCATCTGGGGGAGAGCCAGTAAAGCACTGGCCCCCATGACAGGGGACTTAACTCATAATTGTGTCTTTTCTCCATGGGTCTCATTAGCTAGTTATCAACAGGCCAACTGTTACTCTGGTACAGTAGCATGCATTCAACCACTACTAAGAATGGGTACTTTTACCTTCTTAATTATTTTTGGCTTTTCCCTTCTGTTTTCTACCACTTCTGTGATCCTCATATTCATTGTAAAGAAAATGCGTTTTCTAGTGGCCAGCAAATACTGACTCGTTCCACGTGAAATCAAGTTTGCTACACACTGAGGCTCGGCCCCGCCAGTGCTGGTCACAAGATGTTAGAGGTGGTTACAGTTTTGTTATTTACGATGCCAGGTTTCTTTCGAGGGTTGTGCTTTCGGTTTTGTTTTGAACTGTTTGGCTGAGGAGGGAACTGAAGGATATAGCAGGTACACGTGGATAGCTCGCTTCTTGTATTGGGACAATCCCTACGTAAGGAACGTGACAATCCTACATGGCTAATACTGAAAGTAGATTCTTTAACACACAGGTTGGGAGGAAAGACAACTG